TCATAGACTGCAGGAACTCCTCCCCTAATGTTGGATGTTCAAGGCAGCTCTCAAGGAAGCCACCAATATTTCCTAAATTCACTGAGGAAGCCATAGGTCTTAGCCTGGTTGTGCTTGCAGCTGCCTGCCATATCTGTTGCATTTCTCTCTATTGTTTCTCTGTCGTGCTCATGTCTCTTGGCTAGTATGTGCTTCCCAGGGGCTGTCTTATTACTTTCAAACCTTGGATTATCTGAAGAAGAAAGTGGTGGTTTTTTTCATAACAAGCTGCAAAAGTTGCATGTATTTAATGAACGTGGAACTGTGTACCATAGGCTGCTGCTTAGCTGGTGGAATAACGTTTCTTCTGAATCCCTATAAGATTTCAAGCTAGTAACTTAGCATGTTTATTTCCTCTTAATAAATCCCCTGCTTCCTGTACCCAGGGGCTCCTTCAGTGGCATCAATCATCAAACATACTAATTTTCCATCAGTTGGAGTTCTGAACTGATTTCTTCTGTTGTAACTGTGTACCATAGGCTGCTGCTTAGCTGGTGGAATAACGTTTCTTCTGAATCCCTATAAGATTTCAAGCTAGTAACTTAGCATGTTTATTTCCTCTTAATAAATCCCCTGCTTCCTGTACCCAGGGGCTCCTTCAGTGGCATCAATCATCAACATACTAATTTTCCATCAGTTAGAGTTCTGAACTGATTTATTCTGTTGTAGTTCAAATTCTTCTTGATCTTATCAGCTGACCCTTATGTACTATCTTGCCTGCCTCCTATAGAAGACCTTTATTATCTTTGCTTTATTGGAAGCACTGAACAGAGCCCTTTTTAATTGTTACTGTCTGATCTTGGTCCTAGAGAAATACAATTTGTTTCTCAAAATAAATGATCTCTGCAGCGTTACCCAACTATCAAATATTACTATTGACTCTCTTATCAGGTCATGTAATGATTCCAGTTCTACCTGCTTCATTTAACTATTTAAAGATTAGCACCAAGTCTTGTCCAGTTTATAAGAGACAAAGGCAAGAGTGAAATGGATGACCTCATTCCTCTCGGTGCAATTCTTTCAGTAATCTGAAAAAGTGAATTGGTGATATAGAAAGATTAATGCTGTGCTCCCTTTTTTATCAATTGTCTGCTTTTTATCAAATCTGTGCCCTATCTCATGTCTGCTTTGTCAGATCTGCTTGAGTAAGGTATGTAATTGTAGCCTCTTCTAAATTTAATTTCCCCTTCTCGGAAGTCCTACTACTATTAAAAAAATAAATCCTTTTACGAAGTCTAGTTTAGACAAGAAACACATGCCAAGTCTGGGTATTAACAACTCAGCAACTATGCCCTTGAATACAAAATATTTCTCACCTTCTAATTGACCAAAAAAGATCATTTTAAGATAATATGCCCATTCCTCATTTCTTTTCTTCAGTTAAAGGAAATATGTTGGTAAAAATTTCCTTTAAAATTGGCTGTTGGCCTTCCCTAACAGTAAATGTGGTGAAACAAAATAACCGAGTTCTGTACATAAATCTTTGCTATTCAAAGACCTTGCTTGTGAATGGAGAGCTATTGGTAGGTATCTAGATAATTTAAAAATATTCTGTGGCTCTCTGCACAAACCCTAGTGTGTCAAAAAGCTGCTGTTGCATGGCTTGTGTTCAAAACTGTCTAGATGCTGCTCACTGGGCTTCCACTAGTTTCTCGAGTTCCCTCCTTTCACCTTTGTTCCCATCTATTCTTTGGGGGGAACCACCAAATCTCACTCCCCAGACACCTGCTTTGCTGAATCTTAAAGTCTCATGTTCTAGTCGTGAACACTGTAAGAGAAGTATGTTTTTCCTGTTACGGGACAATGTACCTGCTCATAGTTATCTGAATAACAGGAGGAAGAGGATTTATAAAGGACTGTTAGCTTTCCTGCTGTGCCCCTTTGAAGCTCTCACATACCTTTTACTGCTTCTGGTCTGTTCTGGCAATTATTCCTGAACTTCTTCATTAAAAACAAGCCAAGCTTTACTAGGTTTTTTTTTTTTTTCTTTATAGATGTTAATGCCATTATTGCTGCTTTGATGCTGATGCTACAATGTTCTTACATTTATTTTCTGATTCATACTTGGTGTGCAAGTACCTTCTGGAGTGTTTTTTCCCCCCCTTTTCTTCTCCTCATGTATTTAACTTGATTTCTTTTTTTTTTTTTTCTCCCCAACATGCTTATTGAAAGTTTCTGTTCTGAAGCTTGCTTTTACATGTCTGAAATGTGATTGTTACAAGTGACTAGTATATTTTCTGCTTGTTTGACATCTCACTGGTTCTTGCAAAACTGGGAAACTGAAGGGAAGTTTCAATGCAATGGTGCATTTGTTCTGTTTTCCTGAGCGCTACTGCACTTTCTTGTATCTCTGGTACATGAGGAGTAGGAAACTCATGGAAAAACTGCAGCTGTAGGCACTGAATGTAAGCTCTAGGTGCTTGGAGGCTTTCTTCATAATTAAATGTTTAAGCTGGTAAAGATGAAATTAAAAATAGACTAGCAGGTCTTTTAGGAAGCCTGAGCAACAGAAAATTCAGATCTTGTGTTTATCAAATATGTTGCTGAAGCTTTACATCAGACTGGCTTCTACCTTAAGCATTTCCTGGCAACTCTACTTCTAACAGTAAGTTAGAACAACATTTTCAGGTCAAGTCTCAAGGCGTTAAGTCTGGAAGCCAGGTCCTTGCTGTATGGTTGACTTTTTTCAGCTTTATGTTGTATTTGATGTACTTGGTGTTTAAAAACCTTCCCACACGCTACACTCTTAATTTCACAAAAGAGTTTGTTTTAATCTTTAAGGCAATATAGGAAAGAAAACCAAAGGATATGCCACTTTCTTGTTAAGGCAAGCGATTGCATTACTACAGGCAATCACTCTGTCTCCTCAGAGCTTGGCTTACTGTACCATCTCAGTGTACTTCCCTACTGATCTCCCATAGTGGGCTTTTAATAAGGGGAAGAGGCAAGCTACATGCAGAGCAGAAGGGATGGCAGCTGCCCTGGTCTCTCTTTTAAGTTGTCCCAGTGCTTGTCCTGTCAATGATGTCAAGGGCAGACTCAGAGCTGGTGTACATGTGGAAAAGATACCACCTTTCCTTAACTTGTATGTTCTCTTGAGACAATCTACCGGAAGACATTGAAAACTAGTAGTGCTCAGTTTCGATCTTGGACCCTTAGCTTGTATTTCTGTAACACCTAGGTTTTCTTAGTGGTGGACGGATCTCCTTGGGGGTCTAGCCTACATCCTCAGCCAGGAAGGTGTTAATCCCATCATATTTGTCCAGGAAGAGGAAGCTCTGTATGGCTACCGAGGTACTAAGACATCTGAGTTACAGTTCACAGTCACTGGAGAAAATAGGCTTCAAGGAATGTGATGTTTCTGTTTGGCCTGTCAGGACCCATTATACCATTGCCTGTTACTGTAATGAATCCTACCAAGCTTCTCCTGTAGCTCATCAGCCCTGACCTTGGCACTCTCCAGTAGCATAACTGTGGCTGACAATGAAAATATGTGCAATGTCCCCAGTGCATCAGTTAAGAATGCTTTTACAAGGAGCTGTAAAAGTGTTCTTGAAATGAGGTAACCTCATTGTCTCTCTTGCAGGCTCTGACTACAGGGCTCTAAATGTTTTATGCTAACTGTTAAAGACACTCTTCCTGACTCCCTTAGTGAAATCCTTTTTCTGCACAATAGCCAACCCAAGCCAGTCATTTGTTTAAACAAACAAAGGGGTATGTGGTCTGATAATATATGCTTTAGAATAACAAAATGGAAAAGGAAATTTAGTAGAATGAATTGTACTGTTCACTCATGGATTAAAAAAAAAACCCAAACAGTTTTGGTATAAAACAAATGCCCTCTTTTTGCTAGAGGTTCTATGAGCTTTAAATACGCAACAGCTTTAAGCATACTGTGCTTTTTTTTCATGTTAGACCCATCTTCTTTGCATTCATTTGAGCAGTTTGGACGTTTGTGCCAGCTCTCAAAATTGATGACTCTTGCTATGCCGAAGACTCAAAGGATTCAGTTGAAAAACTTATTTTTACTTTTTGATCTATATCCCTCCTGGACAGAAAAGGTGAACTTTTGACCATTACCAGAACTGGAGAAGAGACTAGACATTAATACAAATAACAGGAATGAGAGAATCTTGGTACATGTTCTGGCCCATAAGAAAGAGGCTGTTTTTCAGTGACAAACAACTTTTTTTTTTTTAAATGGCTGTAACTTTGTTACTGCTGTCTTATTGAATCCTCCATTTCAGCAAATGGTACCATCCTGTTTGAGTGTCTTCATAGTGAAAACTCTAGCTAGGCCACAGAAGATGAGTGTAGGAGTTCTGAGGAATGAATAGTTTTAAAATTCCATCCCTAGTTTATTAGTAAGGAATTCCTAGTGATAGAATTACTTGGAGGACCATCTCTGAAACTGTAGTCTTCTTCTTCACTATCTTATTTTTATTTCTGAGCTGAAGATTTCTTGGAGTTCTTTATTTTGGGTTTGGGGGGATTTTTTTTTTTGCTTAACAGAGGTACCAGACATATGTGTAACATATCTGGAAGAACAGAGAAAAATGGTATAAATCCAAATTAAAACATGTATAAAAGATTTATTGTAAACAAAACAACTCTGTGCAAACAGTGAGGAAAAAATGCTTCTGTTTTTTAAAAAACACCACATGACTTTGTAAAATGTAAAAACCACCAAATCTACTTTGGTACTCTATACAATAACAGTCCACAAATAGTCCACTCAAGCCAGTTGTATAATTGTCTTTATTTTTTCTTGCAGAGTAGAGCTCCAACCTCTGAGGTTTAATGTTGGCTCTTAAGCAAGATGTATTTTTTTTAATCTCTGATGTAGGAAGGTAAAGAATGCACCAACAAAACTGAAATAGAGCTGTAGCACCATGAGCCCTGCCTCTGTTACCTTCTCAGGCTCTCAGTGTGTGATCCCCAGGCAGCACTGGGGCTCCTACCAGCCATGGAAACTGCTCTCTCTTCTTTACCCAGACTGTAAAAATCAGACACAGGCCGTTCCTCCAGCTGGTTAAATTCATTACGGCGGAAGTGAGTTGCCAGTTTGTTTACCATTCTTTTCAGGGTGACAAAGGCTGCAATGACTTCAAAGGTGAGGAAAAAGGCAAAGACGATGTGGACTGCTCGCTCCAGTGGCTGAATTCTCAGACCTTCATTAAATAGCAAGAAGAGAATTATAGGCAGCTGCAGGAGGAGACTCAGGAGCCAAAACCCAGCCAGCTCAGGAACCTACAAACAGGGAGACATCACCTATTAAAAAACTGGCATTTGGAGATGAAAAAATCCAAAATCTTATGAAGAAAAAACACACTTTAATTTTCCAAAAGCCAGCACATAATGTGAAATGGTAAAGTGAGGTGGTTTAATATTTCCATAACATATTTTTTCTGATGAAACAGTTGCAGGAAGCAAGAGGGCCCTATTCTGAGAGAGAACTTATTGGAATGCACAGAAGTAAGTGGAGGCTGATGTCAAGGGAATAGAAGATGCAGACTGTAACTTAAGAGAAATAACTATCTTCTCAACTTAAACAGTCTACCAGTTCATCTAAGAGATTTAAGTTCAACTCCAAAAAGCTCTCTTGCACGAATTAATACATATATGCAGTAACATACCTTCTCCTGCAGATTGCCCATGTATCCCAGGTAGAGTCGAATGACCTCTATTAGAGAGGTTAGGATCATGATTGTGACCAGGATGAACTTGTAGTAATCTGACAAGACGGGATACTAGAGGGAAGAAGAGAGTAAAAGCTTCTGCTATGTTGTTTGGTAAGATGCTGTTTGTGGTTAAATTAAGACACTATATGCTACTGTAAGTTGACAGTGTTGTATTTGCTTTCAAATACTCTTGAACCTCCAGTTTCAAGGAACTCCCAAATAAACCTTAACCTCTAACTCCAGTGAACTCTATCTCAGTACTAGGAGGTGTTTGATCAGAAACGTGTTGGCTTGCAAATGTAATACTTTCTTTCAGGACTCACCTTCAGATGGAGCATGACAACTGTGCTGAGCCACCAAAACGGGAAAAAATACACGTTGAAATAGAGGGACATCTGTAGTGGTAAACTGGAAACGCTTTCATTATCTGTAGATGGAGAGAAGTCCTAATCATTCCTAGTTTATTCCATGCTTTTCTTCCATAAATATGGCAGAAAGATACTGCTTCATCTTAGCTTCAAGCAGGGTATTAACACTATTCCCAGTCAAAAGTTCAGAAAAATATTTTTATCTATCCAGAGGAAAACTTCTACACTACCTTGAGTTACACCATTTCCTGGAATCTAATGCAACTTTCAGTTCACAGGATATGGAATTTTTATCACTTGGCCACAATCTCTAACTGATAAGCTTAGTTCAAGCAGTGCTGTATACTGATATTGCAGAAAGAGTTAGAGGTTATTTCATTGCTCTTCCTAAGAGAACGGCCAAAGCTTAAATGAGTACATACTTGATTATTGTTATTTTGTAGATGATCCTCCTGAGTACGGACTTGCTGCTAGAGAGCAAGCTTGCACTGCCTACTCTTCATTTTCAATCTTTATTTAAATAGACATTTGGATGGAAGTGATGTTGCCAGAAGCCAATAATTCTTCTAGTTTTTAAAGAGCTAATAATTTCAAATGTGTGTCAAACTAAAACTTTAAAATCTAGAGAGAACAAAATGTGTTCGTACAATGTAGAGAAAAGCAAATTTTGAATTCTAATATGCAAGCAGTAAATTCTATATTTAGGATTTAATAACAGACTGGCAAGATCAGAGTTAAGGAAAAATCTAAAAGGGCATTCTAAGGGAATAGTCCAATTTTAATGGGTGAAGTTTTATTGACATATTCTAGTTAACTGATATTGCATCCACTTTACTTTGATTACCAACAGTCTCCTTTCTAATGTTTTCCTAAATGAAGTCTATAGGCATGTCTTTACTTGGTACTACCTGAGCTAGTTTGGACAGCACTCACGGTGACCTGCTGATTTGTATTCAAGTCCTGTGCCCCTGTCTGTCACAATGGTAATATTCAATTGAAAATTAGCCTAAACAGGCACATTGTCTCACTTCCAGCATCAGAACCACCTCCTCTACCATTGCCTTCTCTTTCCATATCTTCCAACTATTCTCATACCTGTCTTTGTTCCATCTCAGTCTGGCATCCCTGTGTCCAGTCCAGCCACATGCAGCCTGGTACAGTCTGTTCCAGAAGTCTTTATGCCAGTTGGAGAAGTATTCACGGTAGCCACTAGACTAGGTGGGAATGGGGGAGGATTTGGGAACAGAACTGGGATGGACCTCAAGTGTAGGGTGTGAGGGGCAGGGATCTGTTCTACTGAAACAGAAGGTGCAAGACAACCAACACTTTTTTTTTTTTAATAATCCCATTTTAACAAACATCAACATTTTCTTACATCTGCAAAGGAATGGAAATCTATAGGGACATCAAACAGTTTCACTATCTCACAAAAATTGTCCCAGCTGTTCTAATTAATGAAGTTCTTGAACACCAGAAAGACTTCAGAGGGCACCGAGATGCAATTCTAAAACGCTGTTTTATCTTTCAAAAACCCCCCATGACCCAATTACAAGTAACTATGTTTCTAACCTATATGTATTGGATGAAAATTTAGTGGTTCATGGCCATATTATTTAAAAACAGCGACACCAACAGCTTTAGTTTCCATTGTAATGATGAGAATGTTTTGGGTATGTTAAAAGTTTTATTGATAGGGCACTGATATGTGTAACTTCTGCTCCAATTTTAAAACTGTGTTGGATTAATGTTTAGCAATATAAACCAATTCTAATTTTCTATCTCTGAATTGAACTACTGCTTATTGTCTGGGATTGTTAAAATTCATGGAAATGCCAGACAGGATTGTAATGGCCAATTCATTGATGCTAGGGCAACTCACTAAGATACGTATGCATAAACTTAATTTTTGAAATCATGAGCTCCAAGAAGTTAATCGTACATTTGCAATTGGGTTCAACGGGTTTGACATCTACATAGGTTTTCATGATGGGAAATGGAAAATAAATTAGTAAAAACAGAAGCTATGCCTGGAGTTAAGAAAATATTCAGTGTTTAATAAATGAAATTAGTTTTAGCTGTGTAACTACTAGCATAAGGACACAATTAAAACAAGAAATCATACTGAAATATAAAAAATAATCAAAAAGTCATTCATCAGCTTGGAATAGATTTGCAAGTTGAAATTTGCATGTTAACTTCTATGAATATAACCTTTCCATGCAGACTGTTCATTTTCATGGTTACTGTCACTCCAAAGGTATGAAAAAGAGGGCATATTAGCCTGCAGGTTTCACTAGTAATGTGATGAAAGAACAGTTACCAGTTCTCACAACAGACCTGGAAGAAGTAAGAGAAAGCTGGCATATGGTGAGTTTGAGTTCTTGCTGTCTAACTCTGGCTTGGTACAGCTCTCCATGCTTTTAGCATCTGGTGCCCTAGCTGTGCAGGACTAGTGAGCTTAAAACAATACCTCAGTTCTCTTATTTGTTCTGTTCTCTCTATAAATTATTTCTACTTTTTATGTTGGGACAGGCAGAGTGAGTAACAACGAATTTTATCTGCAGTATTTTATGCAAACTTGTTTCCTACGTTGTAAAGGCAGGTACAGTGTGTTCTCCATCCCTTTTTAAATAGCACTGTTCCCCGCTTAATATTGGTCTCTCTCAGGCCTGCAACACTGCAGCACGTGGAGAGCAGGGTGACAGATCAGCCGCAGCGTGACTGGCAGTGAAACCAGACCCCAGCGAAGAGACATCTCCGCTCCTCAGCGCGGGGCTGGCGCCCGTGCCGGCGGGTCGCCCTGCGGCCCTCTCCCGGGCCCCTCCATACGGAGAAGAGCGACGGCGCTCTGGGGCCGCACCTCGGCCTCCCTGCCCGAGGACAGCGGGGAGGGTCAGTGACGGAGGTAACGGGGAGCCAGCGCATGTCACCTACAGGACGG